GCAGCAGAGGCAGCGGCAGCGGCAGCCGCCGCGCGCGGGCACCGGCCGGGGACCAACCGGCAGCAGCAACGACGGGGGGAGCAGCCGCGGGAGACCCGGCCTGGGGGCAGAGAGAGGGGGGCGGGCTGGAGGGACAGATTGACAGGGGGCGGGTAGGTAGGCAGAAAGGTGGAGAGAGACAGACAGGCAGACATAGATGATGGACGGACCGACGGGTGGCTGGATGGACAGATGGACAGACAGAGATGGATGGATGGACAGATGGGTGCCTGGACAGAGATAGGTGATGGACGGACGGACGGATGGGCAGAGGGACGGGTGGTCGGATGGATAAATAGCCAGCCAGGCACACAGATAGCGGGACGGACAGAGGGGCGGATAAACGGCTGGACAGACAGACGGATGGATGAACGGACAGTTAGACAGACGGATGGATGGACAGACAGTTAGACAGACGGATCGATGGACTGATGGTTGGGTAGACGGGCGGACGGATAGATGGGTATATGGACTGGATAGATGGATGGATGGAAGGATGGGTGACAGATGAATAGGAGGGTGGAGGGAGGGAGGGAGTCAAGAGGAGCGTCCAGGGGCACCCCCCCCCCTATAGATGGCACCACTATAGATGGCACCTCTATAGGGGGGGTGCCAGGGGGCGGCTGGGCGCCCGTCCGTCCCGTCTGAAGGCGTGGCGCAAGAGCCAGCCAGCGGGGGAGGATGGAGACAGGGAGGCAGCCGCCGCCACCGCCTTACAAGCAGAAGCGACGGGAGCCAGGCCGAGAGGGCAGAGCCGGAGCCGCCGGATGGCGAGAGATGGCTGGAGGGCGGCGAGGCCGCGTGGCCTAGGCGGCGGCGAAGGAGCCCCGGGAAACGGCCCCGATCCGAGGCACGGGGAAGTGGGGGAGGGGACCCCCGGGTGCTGCTCTCTGCCCCTCAACCCTCCCCTTCCCGCGCGCCCACCTGCAGGCTGCAGCCGGCCGGCGGAGCTGGGGCGCCTCGGAGCGTGGTCGGCGTTCCCGGAGCCTCGGCTGGAATTTCAAATTTGGTGCCACTCAGGATTAGGGGGAGGAGGAGGAGGGGAATCGGGCGGCTGGAGGGGAGGGATACTCCCGACGCAGCGGGAGGGGCTGCTAGAGGAGCCATTGCAAAAAATAAAATAAAAAAATACAGCGTGGATGTGCTGCTCTCCCCCCGCACGCACACCCATGTGCACTCCGCCGCCCCCCGCGCGCCTTTGCACACTTGGAGCCTCCCGGGCTCTTCGCCAGAGCTCCCCCTATGGACACTTTGGACACTGCAGCCTGCAGTACAGCCGCCACACTCTCCATGGATCCCTTGACTCACCTTCTCTGCAGAGAAGCCCCCATCCGGATTGGGAAAGGAAAGGGCCGCTGTGTAGGCATCCCCGCCTGATTAAGTGGCTGTATTGGACTGCAGTGCTTTTTAAGGGCTTGCAGGTTTTTAAGGGCTTGCGTCCAGCTTTGTTATATGTCACAAGCAGGCTATGTTAAATCCTTCCCCTTAAGGACATCAGAAGAGCCCTGCTGGGTCAGACTAGTGAGGGTCCATCCAGTCCAGCATCCCACCTCACACAGTGGCCAACCAGTTCCTCTAGAGGGCCAGCAACAGGGCAGAGAGGCCGAGGACTACATAAGAACATCAGAAGAGCCCTGCCGGGTCAGACCAGTGAGGGTCCATCCAGTCCAGCATCCTGTCTCAC